TTAATTAGATTTTAAGTAAGTAATTACTTAATCATTACTGAAGTCGATAGTCAAGTTTCATTTGGGTGCCAAAGTTATGTTTTCATAATAGAAATCAATCTAAAATACATTAATAAATGTCAACACATTGAAGGTAAATGATAAAATGGATGAAAACAATAAAATTCAAAACTGAACAACATAAAAATAACTGATATTCTGTTTAAAAAGAGGTTTAATGTGTCTATGCTATGACAGAACAACAGCATTGTAATGATGTGTACTATGGTGATCTGAATTGCTTTTGAAGAGCTATTCATGCCCACCAACCACCTAATAACTGCTTCAATCCTCACTAATGCTTAAATCCAATTATTGATCACATTACTTGAGGAGGAAATTGAGTCACAGAGGAAATAGACCCTTCGATCCAACTTGTCCATGCTGACCAGACGTCCCAATCTTAGTCCCTTTTGCCAATATTTGGCCTATACCCCTCTGAACGCTTCCTACTGATATACCCATCCGGGTGCTTTTTTTAAAAAAGTTGTAATCGTACGCACCTCCACCACTTCCTCTGGCAGCTCATTTCATACATGCACCACCCTCTGCGTGAAAAAGGTATCCCTCAGGTCTTGTTTAAATCTTTCCCCTCTCACCCCACACCTATGATCTCTAATTTTGGATTTCCCTCATCATTGGCTAGTCACCCTATCCACGCCTCTCATGATTTTACTAACCTCTACAAGGTCATGCCACAGCCTCCGAAGCTCCAGGGGGTAAAGCCCCAGCCTATGCAGCCTCCCCCTATAACAACTTAAACCCTCCAGTCATGGCAACATCCTTGTAAATCATTTTTGCACCCTCTCAAGTCAAGGCAACCCAAAATGGTATGCCTGGTAACAGAAGTTGACGGGCAAGGCAACCTGCTGTGACCATTTCGATAAGGTAATATCCAAGTCAAAACGGTTACAACAGCGGTAACAGATTAACAATCCAACTCTCTATTTACAGCACGCTGTTTTTTTATAGTGGCTAAAGTGATTCTTCCAAATCCACTTTGTTAATACATAGAGTTCATATCATTACACAAGCAATGAAAAGGCTCATGAGCCAAGGAGAAAATTTCAGCCTAGTTAAACTCCAGCAACACCTAGAAACAGGCAGGGCGTTAAGAACAATCTGTCTTCAACTGGTGTCTAAGCTCTGAGCTTTGGTAAATAGAATATATCCTGTCACGATGATACTATACAATCATACTTTCACATTGGTTGATTTGAGGCCTTTAAACATCAAAAATTTCCGAAGGTGTCAAATGCCTAGTTGGGCAAATACACAAGTAATAGGTTTCCCCTTAAAACAAGTTAAGGTTATTTTTCATTCAACGATCTAACAAGACAACTGACAGCATTATTTATTCTTTATAAATTAGTACTCACAATATTGAAACATTAAACTTACAACGGAATTGTAAGCAAGAATGAAACAAAACAAACACTCAACAGAAACATTTTGACAAAATGTTGTTTTTACATCTCTTACTTCCCAATAAAATTGTATACAAATAGTTCGAGAGGGTTGTGTCAACTCACAAATCAAAACATCAGTGTTCAAAATATCAGCACTTTTTGGAAAAACATGTCTGCCGTTTATGTTTTGATTTAACGAATGTAATACCACTGTGATTGTTTTCTTCCCTCTAATAACACAATCTAACTGGTTTCTTCAAAATTTGAATTTATCCAAGCTATCATTGTTGGAAAATGGCCAATATTATCTGTTTCAAATGTATCTTTGGGAATCATTTGTCCTTCGGATGTTATCAGAAGATAACATTTGTTTAAAAATAAAACCCAACAGAATAATAATGGAAGTAGGCACAGCCATACAAACATTTATTTTTAAACCCATGTCATAAGACAACACAATTTAGATAAATTCTATATCAATCAAAACAGGAAATGGATTAGAATAGCCAAATATTGTCAGCATCATAGAAAAGCATTGATTTAAGTGTCCACTCAGGTCATCAATATATTGGTATAGTGAATCAGTCATACCTCAATTAAATTACACTTTCTATCTAACATACAATTCACAATTAATCCAACATGCCAAGCCTAAAAATATTTTTATTAACATAACAATGTTAACAGTCTTCTATACAATGGGATTTGAACAGCTTGTTCAGAATAGTAACCTGGCAGCTCACTAAAAAGCTGACTGAAAAGCATTCCATGCAAATTATCACTATGATGCCATAATATGAACAGTCTTGAAGAGGGCATTGTTCTGCAGTATGGACAGCAAGCATATAAAGGTTTGTTCTGCATTTTGCATAGAACAATCATTTTATCTGAAATTATTTCTGCAAGCTTCAAATAAAGAAAACAATGGAATGAACATAATTTGCCAAGACAAATTCTACATTATTCCTTTATTACAGATTATGCACAAATATGATCAGGCATGAAAATGCCCACTCAGAAATATCAATATTTTCTAAACGCAATCATTATTGTATTTTGTATTTATATTTCAGAAGGTTCTGATGACTTTAGACCACAAAATTAGACTTTAGATCACAAAATTAGACTTTATCAAAGCATATATGAGTAAAAAGGTCAGATTATCAAAATACTCTATATCCTTGCCTATCATTACATATAATCAATATTAAAATATTAGTCATCTCCTGTGACATTTTATTTAGGTAGTCAAAGATGAACAGTCAGCCAGGTAAACGAGAACAAAAGGATTGGAGGTAACTGAACCAGGGTGCACAGACATAATTCAGTAGCTGATATGAAACCATACATTCTGGCCTTACTTTTTACATAATACTTTGTTTTTATATGATGTATAGTTGAAAAGAAAAAACATGCAACAAGAAATGATGTCCATTGGAACAATGAAGTTTCTTCTCAGTACAGGCTGAGGAACAAGGAAATATAAATCTGAATCATTACCATTCATTGAAGGCAATTTGTTTTGTGTAATCTTTAAATTTTTTTGCAGAGCTGCACATCCCGAATAAAAACTTAAAAAGGACCAAGTTGTGAGCACACTGCGCAGGAACATTCAGGTTATTGCACATGACACAACTCAGAGGGAAGATTCAAAGGTGCTGGGGGAGGTGGGGTGGAATCTTACTGCAGTGTAAGAAGTTCACATAGGCAGTTTGCACTATAAACATTGGAACTTATCATGAAAAGTTGCAAAAAGTATGGACAGATACAAAGTTTTAAGAAATACGCAAGTAGTTTAGAACTCCTCAATTTAAATAAAAATAATTTACAATGATACTGATACTGTAGAGAAAATTCAGATAATGTCTGCCAGAATACTATGTCATAAATTAACCCTGCAATGTAATTCACAAGAATTTAACATTTTTTTGTAAAGACAATGTTAAAAACTGAGGTTACTGTAATTATCCAATTTCATGTCATGTAATAATAGATTTTCAGTGATTAACACTACATAGTCACCCTACTAAAATATTTTTGCGTGTGCTGTTCCTCAGTAAACCTACAACCATTCAAAACTGGTTGCAAGTCACATGTAGCCTGACCACAACACTATGATAATGAAATGAAATTTCTTTGAATGAAATACTACAGTTACGTTGAATTAATAGTTGAGGTGATGACATTCGTGCAAATATTCACTGACATTATTTGTTGAATAAATGATCTTTTGCAAAGCATAATTGATGAAAAAGGGATTTTAAGATATTCTCATGAGGTGTCCTTATAACAACTTCTGGACATGTGAATTTGTCTGACATCCCTTCACAAAGTGCATTTTTTAAAAACATACATGTATACATACATATATAATTAACAACACTGCTAAATGGCCTACAAACTGTGCACTCTAAGGACATTATAAAATTGGCTCCTAATCTTTTACGACATCTGTCTCAAAGGTCACAAGCATTACACATTAAATATAACTGTGTAAAATTAAAAACTTCGCTACATAAGATGTCTGACACTAGGTCAGTGAAATCTGAATTATAAATAAATATCGTTCCTGTCAAATGACTGCGCATGCCTAGATCTCAGACTACAAATGCCTACGTGAGTTTGATTCTCGTCAACCTCCCACAGTAAAAGCATCAAAAAGGAAAAAGATAAAAATATAATTTATTCCATTAAGCTTCACTATTCTTATCCTGAATTGTATACAATTACGCTATCATAAGCAACTAGACATGCCGTAACTATTCTGTTTCCAAATTCTCATTCATCATCTTAAAAATGTTTACAACTTATTCCCGTTGTCATTTGTGGATAAATTCATAATGATGCATAAATCCGTGACCACTTCTCTCACTACTGGAACATAGCAACAGTGAAAAAACTTTTAAAATCTTAATTATAGTTACAAGTAAGGAAAGGATATAGGGGCAGAAGATAAACCTACTGCTACCAAAATCAGAATTGATTGAAAAAAAATGAATATTCGTTATTAAAACACGATTATACATAAATAACGAATAAATGTCATTATGTCGCATTTTTTAAAAAAATATAGTGCGGACAAGATGGGTAAACTTAGGTAATCCAAAGTCGCCGATCAAAATAAATAAATCACACTAAATAAATTAGTTTAAATTGCAGACAAGAAACAACACAGGTGCATATTTTTAAACGTGATGCTGGTGCTGACATCCAATCCCAAACTCCCTCAATCTGCCGTTAGAAATTTGGGAAATGATAAAACTCAACGTTACAAATGTAAATTAAGTCTGCGTTTCTCAGAAGTGGATGTTGAATAGATCAGGATAACAAAAAAAGTATGGAAAAAAAAATAACATTTTACGAGAAGCGGGGAAATGCTTCAGAATTTCCCTTAACGCCGTACAAAGAGACAGCGACAGGGGGCAAAGAAAGCTTTGTTTGAGGAACAATTTTCCTCGGCGTGAATCTCAAATCACAATGAGATGCGCAAGGAAAAACCGGAAAGCAATTAAAATAATCTACTATACATCTGGAGGGGCGGGGGGATCACATATTTTTCATCGTACATACAACCAGGAGGGGAAAGAAATCACAACAACCCAGCAAGAGGTGGGCAAGATGGGCCGCTGGCGCCCATCAGATGTGAGCCGTATTCCCATTACCAAAGCATCGATACTTGCGATTATTTACCCACTGTTCATACCTGTTGCGTCCTTTCGGCCGGGTTCTTCATGACCGCCTGTCTGAAGTTATTATCCACGTAAGACGCCATGGTTCCGACTCCCACCCGGTGCGGGCCTGTAAAATAATAGGGCCTCGAGTCGACTCGAGCCTCCCTCTACGGCAGCGCTACTTTCGTAATCCTCGGAGGGGAGAGACGCCTGGGAACGTCTGCACTCAGAACGCAGGCCCGAGACCGGCCTCAAGTAGAAGGAGCAACCACAGAGACGTCACCGCGATCAGAAGCTTCTCTCGGCTTCTGGAATGTGAACGCCAACCCGGCGCTACCCTGACAACCACCACTCTCCGCGCGGCACCCGCCGCTCCCACTCTGTACAAAGCAGCGACTCTTCGCAGCAACACCCAATTCTATCCAGCTCCTTGGGATGCTTCATAATCCATCGGATTATTTTAATAATTAAACCACAAATAATTTCGCCTCGTTGTCTTGTCCTGGACAGTTTCGGGAATAATCCAGAAAATAACAAGTACTTTCTAAATATGTGTTGTATAATCAAAGCGCTGTTTAAATGTCGATGTCAAATTCTTTCGTTGTTTGTTTAATTTCAATCAGATATGAACGACCTGGACTGGACGCTTTGTTTCATCACAAAGTGAAAATCTCCTGGAAACAGAAAGGAGATGGGGGAGGGACGAAAACTCCTGACAACTAAACTCTCGCTAAAAACTCGGCCAGAAACTCTCTACCGCCTCCTCACTCAGATCATCCAGAAAAAATGGTGCCTTAATTTGTTGTCTCCTCCCAAAGCAGCTAAGGGGCAACGGGAAAAACATACAGCACATGCCATAGAGATGACAGGATGTATCACGAGGTGCTGTGGTGTGTCTATATCTAACCATGGAATCGTTAAAATTAAAAGTGCAAAAGTTGGACGAGAAGAGGACAGACACGTTCATGCTTCTCGCCAAAGGTTAAACTGAGCATTATCGTTATGAAAACAGCGGATTTCAACATTTTCCATTTGTTTACGAAGTTTATATATATATAAATGAAACTCCAAAACGCTTATTTTTAAAAATACAAATAGCCAAACTGTTAGTGAAATTCAGAAATAATGATGAATTAAGAGGAATGAGTGTGGCACTATCAACAATAATGTTACAGTTCTAAGGAAAATCCATGCTCCAAACTACAAGGGAGCACAGGTTCAAGGTGAGAGGGGCAAATTTTTCACACAGATGGTGATGGGTGCCTGGAATGTACTGCCAGTGGAGGTGATGGGAGCAGGCACGTTAGTAACGTTTAAGGCGTATCTTGACAGACACATGAATGGAAGGTGAAAAGAGGGATTGGAATCGACGCAGGCTTGGTGGGCCAAAGGGCCTGTTTCTGTGCTGTATTGTATTGTATAAATGGTTCCATCACTGAATGTGTTTGTATTTAAATGAGGAACAGAGGGTGGGCTGTTGCATTCTTGACATTTTTTTAGAACTCCCAATAGTGAAAAAGAGATAGGTAAACAATTTAGTTGCCAGATTTCATTGAAAATGAAAAAAAAGTTAAATAAAATATTTTACTTTTGTCTTTTTTTCTCAATCCAATTTTCATTAAGTTTGCTTTCTGAAACTGATTTAACATAAAGTACAATATTGTAATGCCAGTTTCTGATTCAGATTCTGCTTATTGACAGTTTTTCAGCCTCATTTATTGAGTCGCTTGCCTGTTTACACAGCTTCTGTAGTAGCTCTGTAGTAAATGGGGGGAATTTTTGGCTCTTTTCATCTATCATTTGCTCAAGTGCAAAATCCCATTAAGAAGTCTACCTGCAACAGCAAAGAATGGTCATTGCCAATCATTTGCTGCTGACTACAAAGTATAAGCCTTTATCATACATCAGTTCCTACTCTAATTTGTTTTTTTGATGGAAACTCAAAGTCGTGAAGCTCCTGTTCTCAATAAAAACAAAAAGAACTACGGATGCTGTAAATCAGGAACAAAAACAGAAGTTGCTGGACAAGCTCAGCAGGCCTGGCAGCATCTGTGAAGATAAAATCAGAGTTAACATTTCAGGTCCAGTGACCCTTCCTCAGAACTGATGGTAGCTGGGAAAACATTGGTTTATATGCAAAAAATAGGGAGGGGAATGGGATAGGGAGTAAGTCATAGGATAGAGCCCAAAGAGAGAGAAGAGCAGTTGGATAGACAAAGGAGTTGATCACAATCTGGCTGGGAGGGTGAACCTGCTAGGTTCTCCTCTCTCAATTTTCAAATGGTCAATGATCCAGGGGTGACAAACAAAACACCTCAAAAACACACTAAAGTTTTTGAAGCACGGTGCATTGACCTTAATAAATAGGAGTTGATTACTATGAATTATTCAGAATGATGACAACTTACCTATCACGTTCCATCACGCCCCGAGCACCCACATCTTAATTATCTTGAAAACTGTGTGTTCATGTTAAAAGAAATACAGGCTAAAAATTTATACCAATTCCATGTTTATACAAAGGCTACAAGATATAGGAGCAAAATTAGGTCTGCTCCATCATTCAATCATGACTGATACTGGGCACGACAGTAATCATCCTCAAATTGAGGGACAGTTTAAATCACTGAAAGTAGCTCTTTCCTAGCTGACCAGCCTTACATTTGATATTTCCTGGCCTTATTCCATAACTAATCTAAACTGAATCATGTTGTGGTCACTGTTAGGTAGATTATTTCCTACTGTAATTCATTTCATTTTCTCTACTTTCTTTTCAAGGACCAGATCCAAATCTACTTCCTTCTTTAATAAAAACCGAAAGAACTGCAGATGCTGTAAATCAGGAACAAAAACAAAGTTGCTGGAAAAGC